TACGGCTATGCCCACCGTGAGTACTTGTTTGATTGTTTCTACGCACAGATGGCAACACTTGTACTAACTCCCCAATGAGCCAGTTACGAGTACTGCCCGTCACGCCCATTTACCCGTTTCTTTGATTTACAAAATATTTTACGTTATCTATTTTGCTGTTACTAAAGTTAACCCATTCACGCTGGGTAAAAATGAACAAAAAATGGGGAAAATGCTGTGCTCATTTTTTATATTTTTTAATGAAATGTCTCTACACTAGATGGCTCTGCTTTACCTGATTTCATTTGGCGGGAAAATGTATCTTTATTAGTGCTATGAATATCGATGGTTATTTTTTTTATAAACATTATAATTACTATAATGTTATAAACATTAGTAACAGCAAAATAAGATAACATAAGATATTTTCGTAAATTAAAGAAAAGGGTAAACAGACGACACAGGCAGTACAAGTACAAGTGTAGCCATCTATGTGTGAAAACAATTAAACAAGTAAACTCGCAGTGGGCCCGTCACGTATACGTGACACCCGGCGTGAATGGGTAAAAAAACATTATAAAAATTATAATGTTTATGATAAAAATAATACCATCAATTTTCATAGAACTAGTGAAAAATACGTTTTTCCCGCCATTTCAAATCAGGTGCTAGCAGAGCCATCTATCGGGAGACATTTCACGAAAAACATAGAAAGTGGGCACAGCATTTTCCCCATTTTTTTTGTTCATTTTCCCCGGCGGCATTGGGTTAAGTGTGTAAACTTTGTTTACAAATAGAAGGCTGAAGACTCCATATATGCATAGTCACTAAGTAGTCTCCCCTGTTTACTCAATTCCTTGAATTTTTGGAAAGAGATCCCTTTTATTATTTTTATTATCATTGGTGTTAGTTTGTTTTTGTTTTTATTATTGTTGTATTGTTATTTTTATTATTATTATTATTGTTAATATTATTATTATTGTTATTATTATTGGTGGCATTATTATAATTATTTGTATTGATAGCAGCAGCATTAACATAAAATGAACATTGATATTATTATAAACATTGATATTAACATTAACACTAACATCAACATTAACATTACTATAAATATAAACATTAATATCATTATCAATAAAGAATTGGCTGAGGGCTGGATGACTTGAATATACTGTTATGAAAAAACTTGGTGTGAATATGCCATAATGGGAATTTCAGCTTAGAGCAAGCCTGAGAGGAATGACTTGCCACGAATATGCAAAATTCTTAGACTTATTGGCACTTGTATTAATTTCATCAGTAAATGAAGGTGGAATGTACCATCTGAAAACCAGGACTGGAAGGGTGCTTGCTTCAGGTGGGACATTATTTCCATGCTTAGGATCCTCTTCCTTCCTGCTGTGAATGGTGATTTTTTCAGAAACGTAAATACATCAAAAATATTTAAAAGTAACACAACAAAATATATTTATTTTTACAGATTTTGCACAGAGATAATAGCAGATGATATTAAGTCAGAGTGATATACAGTACCATCTTCATACAATATATCACAGATGACAAATACAGACCTTGGGAAATGGCAAAAAAGCAAAAAAAATTAAAATGCTTATGCAGAAAAACAGATAATAATGCAAAAGGGGAATGGAGTTTTGATACAGTACATAAGTGTTGGTGTGGGCCAGGCCTGCAAGCCACACAAGTAAGGCTAATGCCTGAATTTTGTTCCACTTGCAGACAATGAATATCCAGTGTGTTAATTATACTGCAATTATCATAATGTCAGTGTAACATAATAACAATGTCAAGATCAAATAGCATTGTAAGTGAAATGTTTTTACCAAAAAAAATTGAGAAAAGGGGAAATAAGCTAAGAACATGTAGACTTAGTATTTGGGGACTAGATTGCTGAGCACTTGTGGAGCCATCTGTGTGTAAACAATTGATAAAGAAGAAGAAAGAAAAGAGTCACCATTGGGTTTGCATTAACCAGTTGGATCTAGATATTTCTCTGCCATCACATGGCCTAAAATAGGCTTACCAGGAATGCGGCTTGTAGGCCAGTTCAAATGAACAGTCCTGTGCAGTAATGACTCTATGCCACCTCTTTGCACCTAAGCATTTTTAGCTTTCATGCCATTTTCCAAAGTTGGTCATGACAGGCAGGAATAAGATCCCGAACAGGATCCTTGGAGATGGCACATTACATTTTCATTACATTAAATTCCACACTTGTGTATTGATAGAAATAATGCAAAAGCACCTTCCTAAATGCCAGATGAGTCTAATCACTTTCCAAGAGTCATTCCCATCACCCAAGCCTTCAGCTGAAATGCTCACAACAGCAAGTTTGTGTCACCCACGACCAAATTTTCCTTGTGAAAGCATGTTCATGTCACCTGCCCCTCAAGCCAATTTTTTTCATGACATGATGGTCACATCATCCAAATCATAGGGGCTAACATCAATATTATCATTATGATTAATTAATTTATCTATGTTTCAGTAACTTATGATA